AAGTCTTTGAGAATTAAAACAAGATTCAGAAATGTTGCTAACTCTCTTATTTAAGATCGACTGAAATGAAACATAAATCTGTCCGGTGACCTGACCAATCAAAATCTATTCATTCATTCATCATATACATAGTCTTAAAGAGCTAAAAAGAGCAACCATCAGCACATAACTCAAAAACCAGCATCCTCCATGGTATGTGGTGCATTAGTGCATATTGCATGAGCATGTGCTGCATGGCATTGCTACAGATGCTGCCACCCAGATCTCCTTCAGTATGACAAAATGATAAGATTTTAGGAGAAAAGCTGTTCATTGTTTATGACTGCTTGCTTACCAGAACTTTATTCATGTTTGTCCTCCCAACAGGAGGGAGAGGATGCAGTACAGTTCGCAAATCGTGTTAAAGCAGCCATAGCCAGGCAAGGAGGACTTGTCGATCTCTTATGGTAAGATAACACTCTTTCATTTTCACATACACATTCAATGAAGGACAAGGCAGAAAAACGTGTGACTATTCATACCAGACACTGGATCATAGAAAAGCACAAGTGTAACCAAAAGCAATAGCAAAACCTTACAAAATAAAAGTTTTTTTTCTGTCAGTCACATACACAATCATTGCTCCAGCTTGTTGGAGCTGTTAACCAAATCCATCCATAATTATGTTACATGTACTATAGTCCCACACAGATCATTTTAAATGTCTAAAAATAGACTGGATTTTCTTTACTGTTTCAACTGCATCCATTAGTTTCCATGAAATGCATTGAGCAAATTGATGCAACCTAATAACACTGCTTTCCTTTCTTTTTATGAGCTATGAACTACTGAAATTTCCTTTAGTTACTACAGCTTTGTAGGGTGCCATCTGAATTACAGCTTATCTGCTTGTTACATGATGATGTCCCTCCTGCTTCCTTGTCCTCCTGTGGCGTTTGTTTAGACTCTTGTCTTTTTAATGTACTGGGATACTTTTTTTTTTTTAGTTAACATAAACAAGCCCCTAAGAATAATCCATGGTCGTTGTCAGTTTGTCTGGCTTTTTATTAGCACTGGTTATGTGCAGCACGCCTTTAAGCTCAGTTTGTATCTACTGTATCTACAGCCCATGGGCTCACGGCTTGCCAGACACCAAATATTTTAACGCATCAGAAAAGAATCACTCTCAGGCTGACTAAGATTTCAGTGGGGACCTGAAGCCTAGAATCAGAAATTTTTCC